ATACCCACACACACACAAGAAAAACAAAACACTTTGTTCTCACAGAGCCTTGTCACGAAAAACTGTGATATTGGAATCTCAGTGGCTTAACACTATCATGGGGATGTGCTCCAAGTCCAGCATAAGTCTAGACTTTAAATGATTTTATTTTATAGTAAATCTACTTAAAACACGAGGGTGGTCGTTACATAATTTCATATCAACTTGATAAATAAATGGGGGGGGGTGGAGTCTAGCCTGTCAGTCAGGTCACAGACTGATGAAGCCTCCTTGTGGGTATGCCCTTCTCTTGAGGATTCTGGGAGCTCCATCTCTCTGTTTCCATCTTAGTCTTCCTGTTGACAAGCCCTGTGGGAACTTGCTGAGCCCTGTGAGGAACGCTCTCTCAGCTTCACTTTCCTGCTGTGGAGTCACTTGGGAGTGGGAGGAGCCATGTGGAGACCTATGCCAGTGCTGAAATGCTTCCCTTTTCCTGTTGACAAAACACATTGAGCCCCATGGAGATTTGCTGAGACTTACCCACTGGCCTGTGATCTCCCTACATTTTGTATCATTGCATGTGCTGTGTGAGTCTGAAGAAGGATTGATCAACTAGTACTGGACTTATGGGTTAATACCTGACTCGAGGACTTGATCTGGACTGGGCTGGGATGTTTTCTTAGTAAACAATTACTTTTTGATATAAAGCGCTTTCATATACATGAGTATCCTTGGATTTGTTTCTCAAGTCAACCACAAGTCATTGTCTAACACAATGAGGTTACTATGGACACTGGCAGTGAAAGAGAGGAATGGAAGCACTCTGGCTCGTTACTGATTTTACCCAGAAATGACACATCTTGATCTTTCATACTCCACTAGAATAATTCGCTTGGCACTAACTGTAAGAAAATTCACAGCCAGCGAGTCCATTCATTCAGACTCATAGCAACCTCAATAGAACAGGGTGGAACTGCTCCGGTGGTTTCCAAGACTGGAAGGTAATGGATATTGTGCATCCCAAGAGTCTCTCCTGGTCCTGAGAGGGTCTCAGCATCGTGAACTCAGCGCGATGGAGTCAGTTAGCATGGCCCTTCCAGCCATAACCCTTATGTGATGTCTTATCATTCTGAGCGCTCTGCCCATGGCTATGATCCCCTTTCGGAGGGCGTTATTTGTTACAAGGTAAAGGTGAAATTAAGTCTGAAGTCGAGGGTGTGAATCAAGTCCCCGATTGCATCTTTTAGATTACTGAAAGGCGTGGTGTAAGGCACTTTTGTTTGTTTTCCTTGGGGAGATGATTGGCTAAAAGATACACCATGCTTTCACCAAAGCCATTCCTCAGAATACAAGAGCTATTTGGGACACAAAGACAAATCAGAGGAAAGAGGATGTCCAAGATTTGTCTGAAGCGGTAGAGGCCACTAAGCACCAGAGACTGTGGCATGGAGACTCAGAGAAACAGGGTTGAAGCTAAGGGGTACTTTCTCCTCTTCTGGCCTGCGACCATGGGACTGTGAGGCAGACCGAAAAGCTGGCATCCTGGTCAAGGGACTGAGGACCAGAGAAAGAGACTTGGTAACCCTGTGGCTGAGAGGGTGAGGACTGGAGGGAGAGTTGGCTACAGGCTGAGGAGAAGGGTTGGTGTTGACCAGTAATTGTATCCTCACCGGTTACTGATTCTGATGGTGGCAACCTATGAACTTCCCTAATAGACTCCCATAATTGTGAGTCGTGTCTGTGAGTCTTGTGTGACTGTTGCAATGCATTATGAGACCCCGCATAGTAGACTGCTAGGGAGAAGAACCGTTGGTGTTAGAGCAGGCATACAGGAAGGAGCGTGGAGGCATGTCTGAGCCCTGTCTCGGGACACTAGGGAAGCAGAGGAGGTCAGCTATGGCCATCCACCTTCCATAATGATTGTTGCAACTGGACACACCAAAGGACACACCGCACTCCAGGCGCTTCTTTACTGGTGGCACTTGGGCTCTTCTTTCTCTGAGGGCTTCTCTTTCTATCTTTTTTTTAGATGAAAGAGAATATAACCTACATCCCAACGAAAAAACAAACTAAAACTCTGCAATTGAGTTTATGCTGACTCACCCTACAGACCTGCCCTTGTGTCAGAGGCTCTAATTCTTTATGGGATAGAAAGCCCGGTCTTTCTCCCAACACCCTTATATCAATCTCATCAGGGTCATGACCTGAGAAAGGGTATTTGTACACCACCACCATAATCCCCTTACAAGTGACTGGCTGATTACATAAGGGTACATTTTATGGGATGATTGCATCATCACCTAGAGGCCAATCCACTGAGAAACATGGTTCAGCCAAGTTGACACATATTTACAGGCAGGTGGGGACACAATTCAGTCCATAAAACCTCACCCACACAAAGGCATACATTATGTTCTTATGGGAAAGAGCAGAGTAAGACAGAACTAATTCTCATTGAAAAAAATCCTTGAAATGCTAGAGATGATGACATAGATAAGTTTGGCGAGCCTTAAAAAAAGTTTAGACAAGTTACACATTGAAGAGATGGAGGAGACTAAGAAAAAACAGAGAAATGTGAAAGTATTTAGCATATCTTCGAAAATGATGGACATTGGAAATATGTGGCTGTATGAACTGATAGATGAATCTGTCATTAAAACTGTGGAAGTTGCTGCATTCTGTTAGTTAATACATTATGTATTTGTTTACTAGGTTAGTTATCTGTGGACATGAGTTGCCTAAGTATTCTCAGTTTCTTTTGTTAATTCAGCATATGAATCAAAATCAAACATTTTACCAAATTCTCATCATATGGTTTGCCTCTCCCTCTAACTGTATTATTCTTCTTACTACTTTTATTGAGGCTATCTGTCATTGGATAAATGGACTAGATTTACTCTCCCTTGGTCTCCCTTCAGATTCCTTTCTACCCCAACTAAATATTTACGTAGCATGTCTTTCCATAGCAACAAGGCAATTTAGAAATGAGTCCCCAAATACAAACTCTGGGCCAACAGGCAAATTGGATCCAGGTTTTTAATTGTTGGAAAAACAAGACAAGACTTAAGAAGAAATTTCCTAAGGTTATGATGTTATGATATGGGTATTGCTGTCAGGGAGTTGAGCAACAGGTTAAATAGGCCCAAACCTATGAAACTGAAAAATAGGACAAAGAAGAAAAATTGGAGGGAAAGAAAGAGGAGTGAAGGCCCAAATTGAGAAAATAAATGGGGTTTCTTCTTTCTCTTCTTCGGAAGGAAAGAAGAGAAGTAAGTGGGCAGGAAAAAAAGTAAATCAAGAACACACACTTGAAATGTATATCCTTCTTTTGAAAGTTTAAAATGTACCACCTGACTTCTTTTTTTGTCACAGAAGTTCAGCATTTACATTCCAGCATTATCAAATGCCTATTATATTGTTCACAATAAATAGAATCCTCCTTGTTTTTGTTTGTTAGCATAAGAAAAGTCTAAAGTCCTTTCCAGAATTTTCTTCCTCAGTTTCCTACCTCCAAGTTATCACTTTTTCTGAAAAAGCTCCCAGGTGATTTGAAATGATTAGTAATGGCCACCTTTTATTTGTCTCATATGCCAGGCACTTGGCATAAATAATCTCACCTACATCTGATGGTAGCAACAGAAAGCTGGAATTATTTTTATTTTGTAGCTAGAAAATTGAAATTCAAGTTTTATCCAAGCCCACAGAGGAACTGTGGCTAAAGACTCCTCTATGCTTTGGTTACATGACTTAAACTCTTGGATACTAATTTTATAAATTGTGACTAACCACAGTATGCATTTAACGGATATTAGCACTAATTTAGACAATGTATATAAGGCTTAGACACAACCAACCCAACAAACGAGCTGCCATGAGTTGATGCCAATTCACCAACTCCAGAGGAAGGGTTGACAAGCCCCGGTGAGTTTCCTAGACTGTTAATCTTCATGGGAGTAGAAAGTCCAGTGTGGTGGTTGCCATCAGGTCTCTGAATGCTTTGAAAAGTGCCAGGCAATCACTGAAAACCAAACCAGTTCTATGTAGTTGATTCTGACTTATGGTGACTCCATGCACAACAGAAATGTAGCTGTGCTCCACAGATTTTAGATGACTGATTTTTTTAAGTACATGGCGAGAACTTTCTTATAGTGCTCCTCTGGATAGACTCAAACAGAAATGATTCATCGTTCGATCCATCCACGGGCCATGGTAATAAACAAGGAAGAAATAAATGTAATGATGATTATTATTACATCTTGATTTTGAATCCCTAGGTGTCAAAGTTCAGGTAATTTTTATTATCTCCTCCCTTCTTATAAATGATTTAACACTTTAGAGTAAAAAAGAGACAAACTTGGGGTATGTTATATTACTGTCTAGGGTTAACCTAATGTTTTATCTTTTCCAAGTTTTAGGTACAAGAATGGGGGTGGGGATTAAATTGACAGAAAACTGCAATAGTTGTTCTGGAATCCAAATCCACCCCTATAGCTTTTTAAAAAATCTCCCCCCCTTTAAACCATTCAACCTTAAAGACAAGGGTAAATTCTGAACAGTGAATCAGTTGTCTATTTCTAGCGCTTCCTCTTTTCTGACTTCTCCAAGAAACATACAGACTTGGGAGGGGGCTGGCGTGTGTGTGGGTAGGTTTCGGGGTGGGGGGTCGGGGAAGAGAGAAAAAACAAAACAAAAACGCTGAAAGAAACCAAACCAAATACTGTGGGTTTACCATTATCTCCATCACAATTCACTGTCAAATAGTTCGTCCCAATTTGGAGGGATCAAATGTCTAAGAAACAGACCTAGGATTATTTACCAACGATTCTCCTCTCCTTCCCTATTTTTAACTTTGTGTGTTCCTCCAACCTGCGGTACTTCGCTCTTTCCTCTTGGAGTGATTTGCTCAGTGAACCTAATTCCCTATCTCCCCTCCCTGAAACAAACGCAAACAAAACATCAAAAGGCTCCGTTAGCACGTTTCCCAGCCGCCCAGCTCTGGGCCAGGTTCTTGGCATTGGCACGGCTTCCTCTCCCCAGGTGACTCCTCTCTCCGGGCACCCACCCGAAGCAGAGCCGCGCGGACAGACGCCAGGCTCGGCTCCCAGGTGAGGCTCCGGCCCGGGCGGGTCCTGCCCCATCTCGCCCAGTCCCTGGCTCTCTTTCTCGGCCACTCTTAGATCACAAGTGG